CTAGGCCTTTATCTTAATAAATGCCTTATTTTGCTGTATATGGAATTGCTTAGTGTGTTTAGGCCGCGGTTCTTTAAAATCGCATAATTATCCCATAATGCGGAGCATATCGAAAGAGAAATGAAAATTAGACGAGAGGTACTTACCTTGAAGTGTAATTGAAGTTCTCTTAAGATATGTGGAGCATTATGGGATAATGCTTCCCATCCCTGTCTCTTTTTACTTTTCTACGTTCCCACCCTTGGTTCTCTTGAGGACCTTGGCCTAAATGATATTTGCCCTCCAGGAAGAACTGGTTATCACGCCGCCTCCTGGTGTTTATATCACTGCTGATTTGCATTTGAATAACTTCTTTTAAACGTGACCGCTGACCAGTAGGTAGGTAGGAAGTATGCATAATTATCCCATAATGCTCCACATATCTTAAGAGAACTTCAATTACACTTCAAGGTAAGTACCTCTCGTCTAATTTTCATTTTTGTCAGAGGTCTGTGTGATAAAAAAGAGCGTCTCATAGTAGCGAAGCGCGCGCGGAACACCATGGGTATTAAGAAAATTTGGTAAACTATGCATCCAAGAAATTTTGGTTCTGAGAAAATCATCCGTACGGAGTACGTCCGAAGGTACGTCCATCCCTTCATGTAAGCCGGGGTGAAATTTTGCAATTCAAGTACCCGCGCGTTTCGGCAGTAAATCGCCTAGCCACCTGGACTCTTAGAGATAAAAAACAACAACAACGAAGCCGATTCTTTTGTTTCGACTTAATTTTAAAGTCTACATTGGCGTGGATAACAGAGAAAGAGCTAGAGCCAGAGATAAGAAAACAGAGAAGACCAATTTCGTTTGAAGAATAACATGAACATTTCTTAGCGGCTGTGAGAAAATGAGAAATGCTAGCGGCCACCAAGGTAAAAATGAGCGGCAGCGAAAAAAAAGTGAACAGGACCACATACAACATTTCCTCCATAAAACGTGTAACTAGGAAGTTTCTGGAAGTTTCACGTTGTCGTCGTGCAAAACAACGGCAAAGAAATGACTGTACAAAAAAAGTGTGCTGCACGTGCCAAGTTGGTTTTTTTTTTGCTTTTGTTATTTTGTTTGGGAAGAATTTGTTTTCAAGGCCTAATCTACTGTGATCGAGCATGATTGCTATTTTTGGGTGTACATATAAGACTATTAACTCGATGTAAAATTTGTTTCACTCTTTGACTGTCAAATTATTTTTCCCTGAAATCACTTAGCCTTTGCCTCAAAAGTCACATAAGTGTGCCCTAAAGTTAACTGATTTGTGGATTACAAGTTTATTGTTTGATGTAAATTATGAATTTAATAACCGGAGCTTCGCTTTTAGCGCTGGCTAAATCTATATATTAAAATACGAATAGCCCATTTCCGAGTTGCCTCGCCATCTCTGTTTTAAAGCGAATGATTTTAATGATTTTTTATTCTCATGTAAATAAAACTCATTTTCACAGCAAAGGTTTTGCACTTAGCCTCATTTTGAAGGCGAGAGTTTTTGGAACTCGGAAATGGCCCCTATTAGTACAGTTTCGTCAGGTCTCACGAAAAAACGATGTTTTAGGAGCTGGCCTGGGCAAGATTTGTCGGCAAGATTATTTTGTCATTTGCCAGATTTATTGTTAACGCAGTCCATCTTCTTAAATGTATTTTTTCCTTTTTTATGTCATTATGTTACTCTCCGTTGAAGGTTCTGATGAAGAGAAAATAATTATAATTATAATTATTTATTAATAAATCGTCTTTTTTGCATAGAGCTATCTGGTCTAACGAGATTCGCGAGCTTCCTGCCGACAGTTTTAAAAACATGGACTCCTTGCAAATACTGTAAGTAGTGAGAATGTGTTTCACGTCAACAGGCAAAAAATTGATGAACAGCGTTAGAAACAATTTTGTCATTATTGTAATCAACCAGCGACCCTAATGCAACCCATCTTGTCCTGCTGATTTTATAACTCAAAATTTACAGTCAATTTCTTATGGTTGTCAAATTGGTACCAGTCAGAGCTTTTCCACTTTGGGAAATGTGTGAAACAATACCTTGACATCACAGCATGGCGGGTTAGAAATGTCCTCGAGGAGTAGTATAGGGCGCACGGAATTAGCCTATGACGTCATCGGCGTTAATGTATTCCTGCTCACGCTAATGAGATTCCTGCTCAAAAAAGAGGTTAATTCGGTGCGCCCTATACTACTCCTCGAGGACATTTCTAACCCGCCATGCTGAAGTTGAAGTTTGTAGATACTCTCAAGATTCAGAATTTTTAAATTTTTAAATAAGGGGTCAGTGTGAGCATCGAAAACACTCCTCGATAGCGATCTTTTTAAACTTTGATCACATGAATCGAGTAAATAAAACGAATTGAACATATATAACTTTTTAATATTTCTTCGAGTGCAACCCTAAAAGAAACCTTTACGGCTAAATATAATGGTGTTTTGCCCAGAACACGCTAAACAAGACCAAAATCTGAAATTTACACCACTAAGCGAAACGACGAGCATCCCCGCCCCATTCATATGGAAGTCCCCCCCGGGTTTAGAACATGGCTAATAGGCAATTAATGTGGTATTTGTGAAGAGAGTCGACCGTATTTAGAAAAGGGAACTTTGTAAAATGCAGCTTTGAAATCTTGTTTTTAATCTCTCCACAAAACGTTTCCCAGTTACATGTTCATGCTCTTCCACATAATTATGCATTAACACTGTTTTCATTTAACAGATATCTGGGAGGGAATAAAATTGAAGACCTACCTATGGGGACGTTTGGAGCACTATCCAACCTACAAATCCTGTAAGTAGATCAATACTTTACTCCGGCGAGTGATAGATTCATGTTTCAGGGCTAGAGCACTTCATCCTCACTTGTTTAAAGGGAGAAGGAACATATAGATTATCAGTTATCGAGAAATATCCTATACACAATTATTAATAAGCTTTTTTTCCATAGTTTATTTCATGCGCTCTTTTAATTACATGTTTGGGAACTTCATGTTATTCTGTGAATCCAATTTCATTAATTCGCCTATCAGTAAGGAACGGGGTTCATGTTTTTACTAGGCAATTGCTTTTAATCGCCCTTTAGTGATTTTTATATTGCTCATTTTGGTTTGTTGTTTTTTAAAAGGAATTTAGGCTCTAATAGACTGCAGCGTTTACCAAAAGACATTTTCAAAAATCTGAGTACTTTGCAGCAACTGTAAGTATTAAAGCATCCTCCGATTTATTTTACCTGCTGGCAATCCCACCATCACTCAACTGAGAAAGTAATCCACTTAAGATTTCCAAAACAGGTCTCTTTTTTGTATTTTGATAAACTTGAATTTCACTTTTAAATGATTTCATGTATTCCACTTTTTACACAGTAGAGACCAAAACATTCAAAACAATTAAAAACTAGACATATATACATCACACACTCTCGTGACATACTGATACACACACCCCAGAACATTTTTCCTGTATTTACATATGGAAGGTCACATATAATAATATACATGAAAAAATTTCTCGATTGTGATTGGTTAAGAGGAATGCAGTTTTTAGGCAACACGGTGCAAAAAAAAGGTAATTGAGTGCACAAAAAAGGTAATTTAGTGCAGAAAAGAGTAACAAGCGTGACATTCTGATTGGCTAAAAAACAAAGAAACTCACTGAGAGCCAATCAAATGCGCCATCTAAATGGCACAAAATTTGGATCCGCTCCTGACCAGTTTCGAGCAAAAACCGCAATGGTTGGCATTTACAAAACACATTTTCTTTGGCGACCGAAACAACTGTAGAGGAGCTGAAAAACTGCTCTAAAAACGAAAACACTGCGAAAAGCAGTGGTTTTTTTGGAAGAATTGGTGCGTAGATAAGGAAATTACTGATGAAATAGAAAATATGAGCCCGGCTGAGTTTAACACTTTGCTCGAGCATTTCTACGCCGAAGTAAAAGTAACGATGGCATCGCTTGATAGACACTTAAAGAACAAAGGCTGCACCCTGTCCATTGTACGTGACCGAGAATTTAGTTCGTCCAAAGAGGTGTGCGAAAGCGAAGCAGCCTCGCTTGGCTGGTCGTGGTAAGCGCCCAAACGAAGCTCGGCAAGTATCAAATGAGGAAGGAAAACTCCAGGTAATAACCCAGAATCTTTAATTCAAACACATTGAACAATGCCATGAACTGTTCAGCCCCTTTCTGTAGCTTGCATACTTTAAAACCATCGAGCAAAATGTTGTTTCGACTGCACCTGTGATGATATTTGCAGCATTTGAATATTTATTTTAGCACGTAGTTTACGCGGGTTGACTCCCTATTAAAGAGATTTTAAAGCTATCTCGCAATTTTTTCATGAATATTATTAATAAGTAATCTCATGATTTTTCTCGGGCAATTTGGAATAAATAAGCACTCGTAATTTTTTTTCAAAGACCACAAATTTTGTTAGCCTTTGAAAAAATTTACTCGTGCTTATTTATTCTAAATTGCACTCGAAATCATGTGATTACCTGTACACATAATATGATGCAGATATGCGGCGACAGAATCGTGTACTAATCAGATCTGTATCGCCCCATTTCATATTGTGGGTCACAAACTTATCGTCTAATTTAGCAATCATTGTCTCGATTAGGGTCTACAATATACCCCTACTTGTTCTAAATCTATTGCTTGCAGTGGCCGTAAGCATGTTTTTCGAACTCTCACTTATATACCTTTTTTTTGCTATTTTTCGGAGGTCCCTTAATAATGAACTTTTTTTTATATTCTTCAGAAATTTTTCTGGCAACGAGATTAAAGAGCTTCACAATGAGATATTCATGAATTTGCGGTCACTCTTACGACTGTAAGTATTAAATTGGCTTCCTTAGCTTCCAATGATTTTGAATTTTCGTCACAGTATTTACCTCTGTAAGACCGGCTAGGAAGGGTATTTCAGCAGGGAATGTTATTGTAGGTGATGGCGCATTTACAAAAATTTATTTACAGGATGGAAAGTCGAAAATGCAACATTACTTCTTGCGTCATTCTACTGGAAAATTTCAAGGAGAAAATAGGATTTTATGTCCCTCTTCTTCAAACCTTTTCTTACTGAATGGGAATGATTTATGTCAATGAAAAACTGCTTTCCCTAAACTAAATTTTCTAGTCCCAAATTTAGTTTACTATTCGCCGGGTGAATAAATGATGTCATCAACTACAATCCACAAGCCATGACAAAAAAATCTTAAATTTAGCAAACGTACATGTTCTTACTCATAATTTATCAAATCTTGTCAAGTCTTCCAAAAGAGTTGTAGATTAAGCATATGCCCTTTACTAATCGGCTCCTGAAGGAACACAAGCTGTTAATCTTCTCTTGCAATGGTTAGCGACAATGTTTTAACGCTCACATACTGAAACTAGTCTAACTAATCAAACTTCAACTTACAGGTAAGTCTCGTTAAATTTTCTAACTCTACCTTGTCATCAGTCTACGTCACTACGGAGTCACATGAGATTTCAAAGTCCTGTAGAACGAACTACCCTTCCAATGTAAACAGTTTTATTCGCAGAACGTGATGAACAAAGACAACACTGTGTCCTAATTGAACAATACTGAGCCAAAATTTAATTGAGCGGTAGCAACAGGTTTATCATAAAATCTGGCGAAAGTACTCGAATTAGACCATCCTGCACTTTTCATAATCTCTGCTAGGTTTAAACCTTTAGCCTTGCAACTGGATGTGGATGCTGCTTTGCTGCTATGAGCCGAATACTTCTTAATGTCAATACCAGCTGCCTATAATATTTGCTTAATCCACCTGGAAATGGTATCTTTGGACACAGGTTTGAATGATTTGAAATAGTTCAACCGTAACTTCGAGTGTCCCTTACGCAACTGTTCTGTGCGATGTAAATATTCCTTTAGATCTTCAACCACAAAGAGTTTCTTATCGTTTGGATAAGGAAATAAATCAATGGGTTCTAAATGTCTTCCAGGTTTAGTTTGCTTCAGTTTATCACATACAGTTATTCGGTATCTGCCGTCCATTTCTTGAATGTAGCTAACATCCATCTTGTGTATGGTCTGTCCTCTTTGCCCAGTTGTGAGGCAGATTAGCATGTTCAGATTTAAAGTAAGTTCCTTAAAAGATAAAGAGCTTACGGACTACAAAGTTCGTAAACATTTGGATACAATTATTACACCGGTATATTTGGGCAATGCTGGTTTCAACTCAAAAATGAATGAGTGAGGAGTATTTTATTTTGACCTTTATGATGGTAGTGCATGTGTAGACATGGGGTCTTTTTCCTCATTTTTAACTGATCTCAATGAAATTCCCTCTTTAGTAGAGGAGAAGAAAAACTTTCGTGAAGGCAAATTGGGATACGGAGAGTGTTACAATGCTTTGCAGACCTTCCAAAAGAATAAATCACACGGAAACGACGGCTTAACCCTTGAATTTTACCTTGCTTTTGGTCCGTGTTTGGAAGTTTGTTGGTGCAAAGTCTAAATTATGCCTTTGAGTACGGAGAGCTTTCAAATTCACAGAAATAGGCTGTCATAACGTTAGTTGAAAAAAGAGGAAAAGACAAAAGGCAAATAAAGAATTAGCGTCCAATATCTCTTATTAATGTAGATGCAAAAATAGCGTCCAAGACCTTGGCCAAGCGGTTGAAAAATGTGCTACCTGAAGTAACTCACTTTGATCAGAGCGCCTTTGTCAAGGGGAGAACTATTTTTGATGCCATCAGAACAATTGACGATGTGATTGTGCATACGATGAACACAGATATATCGGGAATCTTAGTGGCAACACATTTTGAGAAAGCTTTTGATTCCCTCAATCTTAGTTTCCTTTTAAGAATCTTATACGCGTTTAACTTTGGTCCTTCTTTCATTAAATGGGTACGATCTTGTATAATAATGCCTCCAGCTGTGTTATGAATAATGGTTTTACTTCAGGACCTTTCTCTCTAAGTAGAGGGGTAAGGCAGGGGATCCTCTTTCTCCCTATCTTTTCATATTAGCTTTGGAAATCTTAGCTATTAAGAAAAGAAACGATAATAGCATTCAAGGTATCTTACTCACTCCTATTCGAAACCCTGAGGGCTTTTGGAGGGTTTTCAGTGTTAAAAGTAAATAAGGATAAAACCGAAGAATTAGCGTTAGGAAGTAGTGGATCTGTCTGCGAAGGGCATTTGGTCATGAATAATCTTTGTTTGGTGGTGACGCTAAAAAGAGAGAAGAACTGAACTTTTGGAAGACTCTGGAATCAATTAAGAAAACGATTAACTTATGAAAATGGCGAGGCCTATCTCTTATAGGCAGGATACAAATTGTTAAAACCTTTGCCATTCCTAAGCTTATGTTTAGAGCATCGGCCGTTTCAATCTCTGAGGATCTCATGAAAGAAGCTGAATCGATCTTTTATCATTTTATCTGGAACGGAAAGGACAAAGTAAAGCGCAACGCAGTTATTTCAGAAGTTGAGAATGGTGACTTGAACATGCTTGATACTGAATCCATGATTCGCACCAAGCGAGTGATATGCTTACAAAAATTTTTACAGGACTATGAAAGTCCATGGAAAATGTTTTTAGGAGAGCTTCCGCAACCTATTGGTGGGAAGTTTTTACTGCATTGTAATTTTGAGGTGTCTAAACTAAATATTTCTCTTCCAGCTTTCTATAGGCAATGTCTTGTTGCATGATCAGAATTAAACGCAAGTGAACCTAGTTCGGTACACGAAATTGTGAACTGTTTACCGAACAGATATTGCGGATCAAGGCTTTTGTAAGATCTGGGACTTATTTTCTGTTGATAATGTACAACTTAACACTGAACAAAGTTTTTTCATTATGAGTGTAATTAATTCCATGCCAGCAGCATGCGTGGCGTTTGTTAATTCGAGCAGCTAATATTGCACCGGTGCTTTCTCCTCTGCCGAATACACCAGCTATTTTGATAAGTGATCAGTCTTAATTCCAATTCTTGACGCTTCTTCAAAGCAAATCTATCGCTCTTTTTTGACCAAAAAACAAACCACACCTACCGCTAAAGAGAGACTATCTGCAAAGTATCATCATTTAACTATTGACTGGAAAAGAGTTTGCTTATTATCTTTCCGCACAACATTAGAAACAAAACTTAGGGAATTTCAGTTTAAAATATTAAACCGTGTCGTATTTACGAATGAGAAACTTTTTCGTTTTGGTATGGCTGAATCAGAAGGATGTGTTTTCTGCCAAACCGAGGTCGAATCCATCGAGCATTCACTTTTTTCCTGCAAAATATCCTCTGTTTTTTGGAAACACGTATTGTCCTGGCTAAGAGACAACAATATTATTGTTGAGAATTTAAAAGAAGAGGATATAATCTTCGGTAAATTTGATGTTGGAGACGATTTCCTTCTAGTTAATTATATTTTATTGTTTGGGAAGTACTATATTTATTCACAGAAATGTCAAAAGGGTATGCCCTCCCTTCAGGGGTTCATTGCTAGGACTAGGCGTGTTTACAACATTGAACTTTACATTGCCAGGAAAAGAGGCACATTAAATAAACATCTTAGTAAGTGGGAAAAGTTAATCAATATAATGTGATCTAATTAACAATTAAATATTGTACATAAATATAAAGATAAGTTCTTTCCATCAGCTTAGATATTGTCGGCTGTAATAGTTTTTTACTTTTTTTTCTTGTCCTTTTGTTTTGTTTTGTTTTTTCCTTTTTACTTTAACTGTACTCTGTAAAATGAAAACTTCAAATAAAAATTAAGAAAATACGAAAAAAAAAACCCTCAAAAATCCCTTTCATGCAGCGGACTGCTAGTGGGTAGGACACAGGGAAACCCAGAACGCGCTGTGTTTATACCACCATACCCCATCCCTGCTTTGAGTAAAGAAACATTGAACTCAATAGGGGCGCACAGCGAAAAAGACTTGTCCCCATAAGTTTCATAAGTTTTCGAGGTTTTTTGTAACATCTGCTGAGATGCAGACCACAAGTTCCTGGGGTGCCTTTGATAACTAAGTCTGTCCGCTAGATAGCTAGGTGGAAGGTTATTAAGTGATTTGAAAACTGACAAAAGAAGTTTAAAGACAACATGATAACTAACAGGAAGATCAAATAAAATAGGTGTAATTCATTTTCATTTCATTTTATTTGTTCCTCCAAACCTTAACAGATGTTAATACAGAATTAGATATATAAGGTGAAAAAGTAAGTAAGAAATAAAATTTACAAAGAAAGAAAACTTAAATTAAATCAAATTGTATATCGGAAGGAGAAGAGAGGGGCACGTCTAGATAAGCTGTGGTTATGCCCCTTAAAGTTACGTATAGCAAACAAATTGTAGTTTTTATTAATGAAAAAAAGAACAGGAAAAATTATAAAACTTAGTTCTTACGTTTTTTATTAAAAAAGTAAGTCAAAAAACACACACAAAAAAATAAAAAAATCTAATTAATTCTAGCGGAGCTAGAAAAAACGCGGCCACCATGCTCGCTGGCCGCTGACCATGTGTTCAAGTTTACGAGTCTGAGTAACGATTCTGGGGGCAGTGTTTAACATATTATTAAAAGTTTTTGCAACTGAACTTTCCTACAACCACAGAGCTAGGAATTGCAATGGTCCATTTTAGCTGTAACAAAAGCATGCACAGCAATTTCGCTAGACACCTGTGTGAGATACTTTCTTATCTTTGATAAGTTACTGAGCTGGTGAAACGATGATCTGCAAATGTTGAGACGTGCACATCAAATAGCATGTTGTCATCAAACACTACTCCCAGACTCCTGGCTTTGTTGGCGGTGGTTGTCAGCATTGCGTTTCCCATATTGAAGTCACTGAACAGTGGACGAGTACGGTACATCGAGAAGATAAGCACGATTTCAGTCTTGATTAGTGAGTTGAGCTCGTTTCTACACACCAAGATGGGTATTAGTTGGGACCGTTGTCATATTTGCCAAGGGTGAGAATCGACAAGAGAGGATCTGAGAAACCCATTAGTTTAATGGTATATAATGATTTAATGGTTTATAGAAAGCTCCTTAAAAATGTACGAGAATTCAAGAAAGAGGACTGTTTTCCTGTTGTTGTTAAGTTTGATATGGAAATCACGTACGACAGTAGTAAACAAATGCAAAGTGGCATCAATCCTGTCACCTTACGTCTTTAATGCCAAGTTAGAAAAAAGCAAAAGAAAAGAGAAACAAGCAGGTTGAAGCAGACCCCCAGAAACAGCAAGTTGCAGATTGTGGCACCAAAGGAGCTTGGAAGGCTGACGCTAGTGAGACTGCAAAGTGTGTGATATGTAACGAAAGTTCGGCAAGTATATAGACATGTGATCATTCTCCACTGCATTAGCTACGTATTCAGTGAGTTCAACAAACGCTCTTGATTCATTTAATTCTTCGTCTTCCTCGGCCTCTGAAGCTGCTTCACTTTTTTTTCGTGTATTCCTCTGACATGTATGCCTATTCCACAAGTCCGTTAAACAGCGCATATGATACTATCTCGCCACTATAGCAATCACACCTCCACCAGATATTCATACTATAGTCTTGTAAATCGCTACGTCTTAGGTTTCTGTCGGTTTTCAATGTAGAGAAACTGTATAGGTGGCTCCCATCATCTTCTTTACATATCACAAACTCTGAGGTCTCACTAGTGTCAGCCCTTGGAGCTCGTTTTGTGCCACAATCTACAACGTCCTGTCTTTCTCTTTCTGGTCTGCTTCAACATACTTGCTTCTCCTTTCTTCTCCTTTCTCGTTGCTTTCGATAACAAATTTATCACTAAAAAGAGCTTAAAACTTTACTCAAACCTCTTGATTAAAATTTACTTACAGTCCGTGTAAATACCTCTTCAAGCCGCCATCTTTAAAGGCCATTTAGGACTGAGTACGCGTCTGAATACATCTTCCTTGGATTTTCCCGCTATATCATTTAGATGACTTGTTTTTGTCATTGGTTTTAATAAAAATACAATTTCTTTTTTTCATTTACATGTCTTTCATGTGATTTTCATCAAAATAATTGCAAAAAACAAGGAATTGATAATTTAGCACAGGGCACCCACCATGGTATATTATTATTGCTATATCATAGCTATGACTTTTGATGCAATTTTAAAGTCAACGTTTAGCAACGCGATTTCTCAAACCCCGAACTTTGAGTGACATGATACAGTGTTTATCTTGTACCTTTACTATAAGATCAGGGGCATGGGTAAGAAAAACAAAACAAAACAAAAGAGAATCTGTTAATTAACTGGTCGATGATTAGGAGAATAACTATAAAGACATATAAGTAAACAAACAGGAAGCAAGATCGGGGACACAAAGTACTTATAACAGAAACAGAAAGCAACGTTGCATTGGAAGCAAACTCTTGCATACTAGATCAGTTTCTTTCGATTTCCCCTGTACCTAAATTACTCTAGATCTTGTAAGCAGTGAATTCTTACTGATGATCCAGAAGGTGAAGTCTTAACAAACATTTTTACCGTCAATTGTCCACTCACAAACAAGCAGTCCATTTTTCCTCATCTCATTTGCTTTTTTGACAACAATACGTCGGTAGGCTGTGAGGTTTTCGTTTAGGAAGATACGGTTCCCTCACCCTAATAAAGTAGCATAATTTCACGTACGAAACGAATCAGACACCATCATATCCTTGAGCGCCGTACGCTTTTTTTTAAGTTGTGGGTCAGGAATTTAACTACATGTATAATTGGTTTGTTTTGTGAATTGAGCTGGTGAGAAATTTCGATGTCTCCCGGCGAGATCGGCACATCCAATGCCTCTCCTAGCTTTAAAACTACGTCCTCCGTTTTGGTGTATGCTTCTCCTAGTCAGGAATGCCGTGGATCTCCAGAGAGTTTTTACGCGTCTATTGCTCCAATTCTTCGAGGCCGCAATTAATTCTTTCTTTTTCCTCCATGACTGGCGCTCAAGGGATGCTTTCCTATTCTTTTTCTTTCTTCCTATGACTGCCCCTTGATAATTAAATTCCAAGATGGCTCCGAGGCTTTATGGACAAATTGAAAATTTTTCATGACTTCATTGTCTCGCAATTCCCATAAAAGACTTAAGCTCAAAGAAAACCAAACCAAATATAGAAATATGACCAGAAAGCCTCGAAGTCACATTAGAATTTTAATATATCGGGCATGGGCTAATGCAAACTCGCGCACGGTTTCTTACAAACGGCTGAATAATTGGCTTTTGAGTATAACCTTCCAGCAGCTTGCTTTAGTGGTCTTACCCGACGAATTCCCCAAATATCATTTTTCTCTCTCCCCCTTGCTCAGAGCGGAATGGCTTGGATACAGTACCTCTTATCCACTGCTTCTTTCCTTGCATCCTTCCATTGTGACACGGTATATGCTCTTCGGATTAAGCCGAAAGAGTTTTGTCGCGTGCCTAGCTTGTGTCTTTGCCTACTTCTGTTACTTTCCTTAACCTGTCTAAGTGCCTGTTTACATAAAGGTGGGGGACTCCAGGTAGGTGATGTAGCTGGGACTGGGGCTAACCATCATGGTAGGAAGACGCTATTTTTAAGCTCGTCAAACAACGATGGCGATAGTGGTGTCGTGAAGTAATAGAAATGTGTCTGGTTATGTTCTTTGGCAAGAGAATTAGAAGTTTGTCTTATGATTCGTCAAACCGCATTCCTACGACTTCAAGTATGCCAAATGCGAAGGAGAAGAAGCGCCCACGTGGGTGTAGTTCTTCGGTTACAGATGATGGCTCGAAGATTCTAACCGACGTGGGCGCTTCTTCTCCTTCGCATTTGGCATACTTGAGGTCGTAGTTTTTTTGTATTTTGATAAACTTGAATTTGATTTTTAAATAATTTCATGTAGTCCAATGTTTTGCACAGTAAACACCAAAATGTCACGCACACTCGTGGCATTGCTAATACAAACACCCCAGAACATTTTTTCCTTTATTTACATAAAAAATTAAATAAATATAGATATGCGGCGACAGAATCGTGTTCTCATATGATCTGTATTGCCCCATTTCATATTGTGAGTCACAAACGTATCGTCTGATTTATGGAAATGGTCAATTTTACCATTTTTTAGATGTTCGAAAATCCAAGGAGAGGCAGGCAAGCAAGAAATTTTACAACAAATGTTCCGAAAATTCTAGATCTCAAATCGTCTTCCGAACAGATATTTTTCCGAAAATTGTTGTTGGGTGCCCCTGATTTGAAAAGAATCCACGTAACCGTAATCTCTTTTTACGACAGGAAATATTGGCTATATAACAAAAGTGCATCAGACAACAATGCCTTTTGTCACGCAGTGGAAACCGCCCTGATCCATCCGAGCTGAACATAAAAAGAGCGCGTGATCACTTAAAACTTGAACCCTAGAAATACTGGTGGAGTATGCTGTGGAGGATTCTTGTTTTTGACAGAGTAAATGATATTTGCCGATTGAGAGGTCATGAGGCCGATGTGTTTCCTGTGCATTCCAGCATTGATATCCTGTGGTCTTTGTCTCTGACAGAATTTGATCTCTGAAGCATTTTAGGGAATTCTTTGACCTCTTTTGAAGTACAAAGCTTTTTATTGCCGCTAAATGGCCGTTTATTAGAGAAGTTAGTTTCTCAAGTTTGGAGTAACTGCAGCATACTCTGCCTGGATCCTGAGTAACTTTCAATAAATAGTTGTTTTGTTCGTGAATTGATTGTTACGCTTGGCCTGGCTTGTTTGTCACCCAGTTTGGTATCACACAGCTCTTTATGATTGGGTAACCAAATGGTTCCAAACAAGGTGACAAAAGTAGGCGGCATTCAAAACTTAAGAAATGTGGCCGGCGGGTAGCCTCCCACGCAGACGTTCTTAGGGGTTCGTCACGCGTTCCTGCCCCACGAACGTCTGCTGACTTGAGCGAAAAAAAAACGTAGAGCAATCACAGCAGACTTTCAGATCTGGGAAGTGCACTTTGGACTCTGAGAAATTTCGCGCTTGACTTTATAGCTCCGGAAAAGATCAGAAAGGTCTCATGAAAGGTGAAGACCTTACAGTTTTAGAACAAACTACTCAGTTAACTCACAAGCGTTCGTACTAATGGCTACCCTCAGAATGTCGTTGAAATAATTACCTCGGAGGTTAAATTTGCTGAACGGATGTCGGCTTTACTACAAAACAATAACGTGTGAAAAAACATTTTGCCTTTTGTTCAGTCTTACAAGGTAACCCCGCCGTTGCATCACCCAAAGAACAAATTTATGAGCAAATGACATCTAATCCAGCCTTTACAGAGAGAAATATACAAAACGCCAACGCTTATCTCCTATATTCTCGTCAGCAGCAAAAATCTTTGGAGGCGTAACACACTCTACAGAGCTTGTACGTATGTGTTTGGCTTGTCAACACTTTTACTTCAACAGCGCCGATTGGATCTCCGATAATCTGCATGTGATCTCCAGCCGATATTTGCGAACAATGGGAAAGGAATTTATCTTTCAGTTCAGGAGACGTCCGTGGGGCGGGAACGCGTGACGAACCTCTAAGAACGTCTGCGTGTGAGGCTAGCCGGAGTGATTTTCCCGCGCGGCTTCTTATTTTTTCTGCTTCTTTCTTTCTTCAGTATAGTTTAGGTGTATAGTTTTTGTGATAGAGTTGATGTGATTAAATTCCTGGTAAGGAGTACTTGGTTATAAACATCCCCATTCAATAAAATACAAAAAAAGTAGGTGGGGTAACCTGCCTGTGAAGAATATAATCTTTTATTTTAATCTGATCTTTTTTTTTCAGCGTGTATTTTATGCGCTCTTTTAATTACATGGTTTCGGAACTTCTTTTTATTCTTTTAATCCAGTTTTACTTATTTGCCCATCAGCAAGTAACGGGGTTTATGTTTTTACTAGGCAGTTGTTTTCAATCGCCCTTTAGTGATTTTTATATTCCTTATTTTGGTTTGTTGTTTTTTTTTAAAGGAATTTAGGCTCTAATACACTGAAGCGTTTACCAAAAGACATTTTCAAAAATCTGAGTACTTTGCAGGAACTGTAAGTATTAAAGCATCCTCCGATTTATTATACCTGCTCGTAATCCCACCTGCACTCAACTGAGAAAGTAATCCACTTAAGATTAGCAAAACGGGTCTCTTTTTTGTGTTTTATAAACTTGAATCGTGTACTAATCAGATCTGTATTGCCCCATTTCATATAGTGGGTAACAAACTTATCTTCTGATTTAGCAATCAATGAAACGATTAGGGTCTACAACATACCCTTACTTGTACTAATTCTGTTGCTTGCTGTGGGCGTAAGCATCTTTTTCGAACTCTTACTTATATACCATTTTTTGCTACTTTCCTGAGGTCCCTTAATAATGTACATTTTCAAATTCTTCAGAGATTTTTCTGGCAACGTGCTAGAGCTTCACAATGAGACGTTCATGAATTTAAGGTCCCTCTTACGACTGTAAGTATTATATTGGCCTCCTTAGCTTCCAATGATTTGGAATTTCCTCACAGTATTTACCTCTGTAAGGCTAACTAGGAAGGGTATTTATTTATCATTATTATTTTTTCTGCGTCTTTCTTTCTTAAGAGTGACTTTCTGTAAATACCACGGATAGGTGTGCAAGATGGAAAAATCGAAATCCCCCAAACTTTGTCCCAACAAAGCCCTTTGGAAACTATTTTAGAAAATACAAGACTCAGTTCGTTTGACTCAATATTTTCCAAAATAATAATTTTTTTTAATTTTCACCTTCGAGAGGCCTTCAAACCACCGAAAAATGTGCTTGATACCCTCGCTTCGTGAATGGAAACGGAAACTAATACCATAACTTTTCTTACATTAAACAATGTTATGATCCTTCCTTTCTACCTAAACGTTGTTACAATTTCAAAAGATTTCAATCTGATTTTTTAATATTTTTTTAAAATTACCTTCTAAATCAGCATTATCGCGACCATCAATTTTGCCATTTTTCAACGGCGAAAATCCCTTTCTGGTACATGGCTTTCATTAGAAAAATGGTATTCCAGAGAAAGAGCAATGTTTCCCCTATCAATCTGTGAAATAAAATTCTGGGGCAATTGAAACTGCGAGTTTTTACAACGGAAAACATTTACGGTACTCGCGTGATTTACGACCTCTGAACTTGCAGTTGTATTGATGAATACAAGGGAGTACTTAGACAGCACTTGAAAGTCTGGCGCAAATTAGCCCCTTTTCCGCCCATTTAAACACCAAAAACGATTTTAGATTTCACAGTGGTAAATTTTCGAAAGGAAAAGCAATTTTATTGTGCGAAAGTGTGCTATGAACTTCTTGACTACAACACATCCCTTACGTGCGTATTTGTTTACTTTTGCCGTATCTGTAACAGTTATCATATATCTACAAAACGGCTTTAGTGTCGGTAGCTATTCTTTAAAATGCTCTCATTTCTCATGAACCAAATCGTTATAGCTATAAAAAAGGAAAACGTTTTGACCTACCTCACATTATTTGACAACAGAACCGAATCCTTTACTGCCTTTAACGAAATGAGATTGCGTGACAAAGGACTTTAAGACCCAGGTTGAAGACGGTCCGTTGAAGACAGATACCATTCCGAAAAAGACACTCACGCGGTGCCTTCTGTAACTATAAAAGCAAAACATGTAAATTATCAAAATCCTTAGTTTCACTGACTTATCCGCTAGAGCGATTATGAAAACGTAAGACTAAAAAAACATATTTTCCACAACAGACTATGAAGTGGTTGGCACTTATATATTCTGTTACTTTCCATAAACGCCTGCTTACACATTTTGAAATACGATTATGAATTCCTTACTTGTATCCTTAGAAAAATGACATTTAGGGGGAAAAAACTGCTAATTCCTAGTCTTAAATGCCATCCGTCCCTTCCCTCCACCCCCTAAGTGGCGGCAGCCCGTTTCGGGGTGGGGCGAAGAAACGCAGAACATTTCAAACTGGACATAGCGGGGCTAGAAAACCTGCATAATTTTAGAGCACCTCTGGTGTTAAAAGCAAAGCTTTCAGTAGTTCTGGGAACCTCGAGCAAGTTTTGCATTTCTGAGCAACGTTTGGGAAAAATATAGGCTTATGTCAAGCCAGAAAAAAGTGAGCAGTTTGATAGAAAATGTCAAGTACGACTGAACCGCGCCGGTATAAGCGCCCTAATGATTCTGGCAGGGGGAGGGGGGGGGAATTTTGAAATGGAGCGAAGGGGACCTAGGTCTAACAATACCGTCTGCGCTTTAGCTGTGAGTCTGCCTTGGAGATAAATTTCGCTCATATTTTTGAGCAACTCTTTAAAGAAGATTGCAAGCCGTATAGTTGCGTCCGTCTGGAACGCTGGAGCGGTGAAACCAATGATCGCGCCCCTCGCACCTTGAAAAAAAAAACTGCGTTTTTTGAGAAAAAAAGGAAACGAAAATAAAAGAGAAGGAGGGCCGTTCGCACTAACTAAAAGCTATTGTTTTTTGCATTGCTATTGAAAATCTGAAAAGGAACAGTCTTACACACGTAGCCCTCGGGGCGGTACCAGGTGAATATATCACATACCCCATCGTTTCAGGTATATAACCTTCACGTAAGCGTAGGATGTAAGACACACTTGCGGATACGCGTAAGCATAACGTGAGATACCCAGGCGCAAAAAAATAACAGTGGCGCGGCTAATGTTGGCTCCCTTCAAAAATGAAGCGAATTAACGTGGGCTTGAAAAGTGAGATTTTCGGATATCTTCGGGATAATTGATAGCGAGTTATTTCCAGTCCACGGACTTTCTCCTAAATTTTTCGAAAGTATTTGTTCTCTTAGAAAACCCAGAATTTCGTGATTTCTTGATAGTTTTATACATACGCTAATTATGAGATTCCTTTTCTTCTTTCCTAACGATAAGTTAAACAGGTCAAGAAAAAACAGCTTTCAGTAAGTTAAAATAAGATTTTTGAGGGCGCGATCTTTGGTTTCACCGCTGAGCGTTCCTGACGGGCCCAAATATAAGGGCTTGCAATCTCCTTTAAAGAGTTGCTCGACACTGTGGTTAAAATTTATTGCCAAGGGAAACGGACAACTAAAAAGCAGGCGGTGTGCTTAGAGCTAGGTCCTCTTTGCTCAATTTCGGAGTTTCCCCTCCCCACCCTGCCTCCCCCTCCCGCCCGAGTCATTAGGGGCGCTTTTACGGGCGTTGTTCAGTCGTACTTGACATTTTCTATCAAACTGCTCACTTTTTCTGGCTTGACATGTGCCATAACCTATATTTTGGCAAAACGTTCCTCAGAAATGCAAAACTTGTTCGAGTTTGCCAGAACTACCGAAAATTTAAACACAAGAGGTGCTATAAGGTTATGCAGGTTTTTTTAGCCCCGCCATGTCTAGTCTGAAATGTTTTGCGTGCCTTCGCCCCACACCGAAACCTGCTGTGGCCCCTTAGGGGGTGGAGGGAAGGGACGAATGACATTTTAGACTACGACTTAGCGCTTTTTCCTAAGAATACAAGTAAGGAATTCATAATCGTATTTTAAAACGAGCGTGATGAAAACAAAAGACTACGGTGGAACCTCGATTTAACGAAGGGCCAAGGGCCGAAAAAAATTTCTGAGCCACCCAACGACGGTTTCCTTCTAAATTCTTTGAAAACATTTTTCAATGGTGCACCCAGAGTACTTTTAGATCTCTAGAAATGCATTCTAAGCGGCTTGTAAAATTTGTTCCTGTTCGGTCATCCTAGGGAAACTTGCATTGAGCATTTTTGAAATTACAAGGGCTTCAGTATTATTTTCCCAAAAATTTTAGATGCAATTTAACGTATCACCAAAGTGAGAATTTTTCTGATTCCTCTCTCAATCACATGTTTGAATCCGACTATTTTAGGCTTCCTCTTTTCTATGAAAAATTAGCCTAACCTGGGATGTAAAATTTGAAAAATTAAACTTCAGAAAATCGTAGGGAATTTATAAGATAACCTTCGAAAATTGAACAGGAACGGAACGGTCGTCTAGAAATTTTTAGGCGTCCTCAAGCTATAGAAAATTCTATGCAATATCTACTTCTCCCATGATATATTTTACAGAAAACAGTCGTTGAGTGCCCCTGAAATTTGCTCGCTATAACGAGGTTTCGTTATATCGAGGTTTTTTTTTCATACCGTAAATCCTCTATTAAGCTCCCCCGGGGGGCTTATTATTTCAAGCTCATTTGAGGGGGAGGGGCTTAATAGAAACGGGGGGCTTAATATGTTTAATTTAGAAACTAAGATGGTATCGCTTCTCCATAAAGCCTACAAAGTGGAAAAGCTCAAGTACAGGAAGTTTTAGGTCACGCAGTCGAAAATCATTATCAAATGCGAACTTCCCGTTGGTAAATAAACAATCCCGGATCAGTCAACACGAAGCCTTTACGGTCGTGATTGATTAATACAGTCTTTCATTAATTAGTGAAGAATAATTACGGGTGGGAAGCGGGTGCTTGATAGAAGGGGGGGGGCTAATCAGAGGGAGGGGGGTTATTTGACAGGGGGCTTTAATATAGGTTTTACGGCATATTTTACTATTATCGAGGTAAAGAAAATCATTCGTAGGTTCTTTATATCGCGGTTCCACTGTATAAGGGCGCACCCCTATATAGTCTTTTGACGAAAAAATATTTTTTTAGTGTTACGTTTGCAGGGTCGCTCTGGCAGATAAGTCAACGAAACTAAGGATTTTGATTGTTTACATGTTTCACTTTTATAGCTACAGAAGGTGCCGCGTGAGTTTCTTTTTCGGAATAATATCTGTCTGCGCGGTATAACCTGGGTCTCAAAGTTCTTTGTCACGCAATCTCGTTTCGCTAAAGGCAGTAAAGGATTCGGGTCTGTTGTCAAATAATGTGAGGTAGGTCAAAATGTTTTCTTTTTTTATAGCTATAACGATTTGGTTCATGAGAAATGAGAGCATTTCAAAGAATAGCTACCGACGCTATTAGCCATTTTGTACATATGTGTACGGCAAAAAGTAAACAAATACGCACGGAAGGGAAGTGTTTGTAGTCAAGAAGTTCATAGCACACTTTCGCACAATAAAATTGCTTTTCCTTTTGAAAATTTACCACTGTGAAATCTAAAATCGTTTTTGGTGTTTAAACTGGCGGAAAAGGGGCTAATTTGCGTCAGGGTTTCAAGTGCTGTCTAGGTTCTCGCTTGTATTCATCACGACAACTGCAAGTTCAGAGGTCGTAAATCACGCGAGTCCCGTAAATGTTTTCCGTTGTAAAACTCGCAGTTTCAATTGCCCCAGAATTTTATTTCACAGATTGATAGGGGAAACATTGCTCTTTCTCTGGAATACCATTTTTCTAATGAAAGCCATGTACCAGGAAGGGATTTTCGCCGTTGAAAAATGGCAAAATTGATGGTCGCGATAATGCTGATTTAGAAGGTAATTTTGAAAAAATATTAAAAAATCAGATTGAAATCTTTTGAAATTGTAACAACGTTTAGGTAGAAAGGAAGGATCATAACATTGTTTAATGTAAGAAAAGTTATGGTATTAGTTTCCGTTTCCATTCACGAAGCGAGGGTATCAAGCACATTTTTCGGTGGTTTGAAGGCCTCTCGAAGGTGAAAATTAAAAAAAATTATTATTTTGGAAAATATTGAGTCAAACGAACTGAGTCTTGTATTTTCTAAAATAGTTTCCAAAGGGCTTTGTTGTGACAAAGTTTGGGGGATTTCGATTTTTCCATCTTGCACACCTATCCGTGTGGTATTTACAGAAAGTCGCTCTTAAGTATAGTTGAGGTGTATAGTCATTGTAGTAGAGTTGATGTGTTTAAATTCCTGGTAACACAATTTTTGTTATAAACATCCCCATTCAATAAAATACAAAAAAGAAAAGGTAGGTAAGGTAACCCGCCTGTCAATATAATCTCTCATTTTAATCTGAACATTTCTTTTTTCAGAGTTTGTTTCATGCGCTCTGATTTTTAATTACATGGCTTAGAAACTTCCTGTTATTCTTTGAACCCAATTTCATTAATTTGCCCATCAGCGAGTAACGGGGTTTATGTTTTTACTAGCCAGTTGTTTTCAATCGCCCTTTAGTGATTTTTATATTCCTTATTTTGGTTTGTTGTTTTTTTTTAAAGGAATTTAGGCTCTAATAGACTGAAGCGTTTACCAAAAGACATTTTCAAAAATCTGAGTACTTTGCGGGAACTGTAAGTATTAAAGCATCCTCCGATTTATTATACCTGCTCGTAATCCCACCTGCACTCAACTCAGAAAGCAATCCACTTAATTCCAAAACAGGTCTTTTTTGTATTTTGTTAAACTTGAATTTGATTCTTAAATAATTTCATGTATTCCACTTTTTGCACAGTAAATACTAAAACATACAAAACAAATAAAAACTAGACATATATACATCACGTACACTCGTGACATTGCTAATACACACACCCGAGAACATTTTTCCTGTATTTACATATAAAATGATATAAATATAGATATGCGGCGACAGAATCGTGTTTTCATATGATCTGTGTTGCCCCATTTCATATTGTGGGTTATCGTCTGATTTAACTATCATTGTCACGATTAGGGTCTACAACATACCCTTACTTGTGCTAAATCTATAGCATGCGTAGCTGGCGGGATTAGCGTGGAAGTGCAGTATTGTTTTGGCGGCGGAGCCGCAAGAAAAGTGGGTATTCAAGTCAATTGGAAGTCCCGCCTGCCGCAATTCTTGGGTATTTTGAATAGTCCGCAGCCAGGAATACGGGAGTTTCTAATTGACTGAGAAGCTGATAAAACGCCAATCAAATGATAATTGCTATCCCTACTATCTCCCAAGGGAAAGTTAGTGCGTACATGTGGAAATGAATCAAATCGAGCAAGCTATAAACCGCCTCTACTCCACTCCACTCCACTCCACTCCATGGTTTTCACATGAGGTCACTAAAATTCAAACTAAAAAACTATCGATCCTACCGAGATTTTACTTTCACGATGAATTAGAGCAGCTGAAAACTAATTTTCATACAAATTTTCGCTTAAAAAGTATTCTTGGTTTTGTGATAAAGTACGCTTGAATTTCTAGTAAGCCTTTGCGTGACGTGGCATTTACATGACGGCCAAGAGAGCTGTCATGTAGGTTAAAAAAATGACTTATTTCAGGAAATTTTTGCTATCTAAACAGTTCATGTATTAGAAAAAGTATTACTTTAATGTTTATGAGTTTATAGAGGAATAAATTCACGCTTTTGTAGCAAAACTCGGTAAAAGATGTTTCTGTTGGATTCCGTCCTTCATGTTGAAGCTCATCCAGGTGAGCACCAGCATGGCGTCTCTATACAAATCTCTATAAGTTTGGGTAAAACATTTCTTCGGATATCTCGTATACCTCAGTGTCGGTGGCTAGTAGTGGTATTTACCTCCCCGCTTCGCGGCCTAGGCAAATTTCACTACTAGCCACCTCCACTTCGGTGAATAATTGTTATCTATTCCAATGGTTATTCGTACAGTAAACACCAAAAAATACAAAGCAATAGGCCACTCCCGAATTCCAGTTTATTTCATACGCTCTTTTAATTACACGGTTTGGGAACTTCGTGTTATTCTGTAAAACCAATGTCATTAATTTGCCTATCGGTAAGGAACAGGGTTTTTGTTTTTTTTTCTCCTCCTTCTAAAGATCCCTAGAGCATATGCAGTCGTAGGTCGTACCAGTCCCCGGCTCGTTTAGAACCGGGGGGACTCCCATATGAAAGGGGAGGGGATGCTCGTCGAAAATTTTGAATTAAACCCCTAAAGGAGATCAATCTGGGCGTGGCCCAACCTTTTTTGACCCCCAAAAGCGATCATTTTAAACTTTGATTACTTGAATAGAGTAAATAAAACGAATTGAACATAAATAACTTTTTAATACTTCTTCGAGTGCAACCCTAAAAGAGACGTTTACGGCTAAATATTATGATGTTTTGCCCAGAACACCCTAAGCGAGACCAAAATCTGAAATTTTAACCCCTAAGCGAGACGACGAGCATTCCCACCCCTATCAAATGGAAGTCCCTCCCCCCCCGGTTCAGAACATGGCTAATAGGCAATTAAGGAGGTAGTTGTGATGAAGAGAGTCGACCGTAAAAGGAACTTTGTAAAATGCAACTCTGAAATCTTGTTTTTAATCTTTCCCAAAAACGTTTCCCAGTTACATGTACATTCTCATCCCCATAACTGTGCATTAAAACTGTTTTCATTTGACAGAAATCTTGAACGAAATGAAATTGAAGACCTACCTGTAGGGACGTTTGGAGCACTATCCAAGCTACAAATCCTGTAAGTAGATCCATACTGTACTCTAGCGAGTGATAGATTCATGTTTCAGGTCTAAAGCACTTTATCCTCACTTATTTAGTGGGAGAAGAAAACAAGTAGATTATCAGTTATCGAGAAATATCTTATACACACTTAAATAAGCCTTTTTTTCAGAGTTTATTTCATGCGCTCTTTTAATTACATGGTTTGCGAACTTCGTGTTATTCTGTGAATCCAATTTCATTAATTCGCCTATCAGTAAGGATGGGGTTCATGTTTTTACTAGGCAATTGTTTTTAATCGCCCTTTAGTGATTTTTTATATTGCTCATTTTGGTTTGTTGTTTTTAAAAGGAGTTTACGCTCTAATAGACTACAGCGTTTACCAAAAGACATTTTCAAAAATCTGAGTACTTTGCAGGAACTGTAAGTATTAAAATATCCTCCGATTTATTATACCTGCTTCCAATCCCACCAGCACCCAACTGAGAAATTAATGCACTTAAGATTAGCAAAACCGGTCTCATTATTGTATTTTGATAAACTTGAGTTTGATTCTTAAATAATTTCATGTATTCCACTTTTTGCACAGTAAATACCAAAACATACAAAATAATTAAAAACTAGACATATATACATCACACACATTCGTGACATACTGATATACACACCCCAGAACATTTTTCCTTTATTTACATATAAAATAATATGATGCAGATATGCGGCGACAGAATCGTGTACTAGTCAGATCTGTATTGCCCCATTTCATATTGTGGGTCACAAAATTATCGTCTGATTTAGCAATCATTGTCTCGATTAGGGTCTAGAATATACCCTTACGTGTGCTAAATCTAGTACCTGAAGTGGCCGTAAGCATGTTTTTCGAAGTCTTACTTATAGACCATTTTCTGCTATTTTGTTGAGGTCCCTTAATAATGAACATTTTTAAACTCTTCAGAGATTTTTCTTACTCCGGCGAGTGATAGATTCATGTTTCACGGCTAGAGCACTTCATCCTCACTTATTTAAAGGGAGAAGGAACATATAGATTATCAGTTATCAAGAAATATCTTATACACACTTATTAATAAAGTTTTTTTTTTTCTCATAGTTAATTTCATGCGCTCTTTTAACTACATGTTTGGGAACTTCAGGTTATTCTGTGAATCCAATTTCATTAATTCGCCTATCAGTAAGGAAGGGGTTCTTGTTTTTTACTAGGCAATTGTTTTTAATCGCCCTTTAGTGATTTTTATATTGCTCATTTTGGTTTGTTGTTTCTTAAAAGGAATTTACGCTTTAATAGACTACAGCGTTTACCAAAAGACATTTTCAAAAATCTGAGTACTTTGCAGAAACTGTAAGTATTAAAGCATCCTCCGATTTACAACATACCCTTACTTGTACTAATTCTGTTGCTTGCTGTGGGCGTAAGCATCTTTTTCGAACTCTTACTTATATACCATTTTTTGCTACTTTCCTGAGGTCCCTTAATAATGTACATTTTCAAATTCTTCAGAGATTTTTCTGGCAACGTGCTAGAGCTTCACAATGAGACGTTCATGAATTTAAGGTCCCTCTTACGACTGTAAGTATTATATTGGCTTCCTTAGCTTCCAATGATTTGGAATTTCCTCACAGTATTTACCTCTGTAAGGCTAGCTAGGAAGGGTATTTATTTATCATTATTATTTTTTCTGCGTCTTTCTTTCTTAAGTATAGTTGAGGTGTATAGTCATTGTAGTAGAGTTGATGTGTTTAAATTCCTGGTAACACAATTTTTGTTATAAACATCCCCATTCAATAAAATACAAAAAAGAAAAGGTAGGTAAGGTAACCCGCCTGTCAATATAATCTCTCATTTTAATCTGAACATTTCTTTTTTCAGAGTTTGTTTCATGCGCTCTGATTTTTAATTACATGGCTTAGAAACTTCCTGTTATTCTTTGAACCCAATTTCATTAATTTGCCCATCAGCGAGTAACGGGGTTTATGTTTTTACTAGCCAGTTGTTTTCAATCGCCCTTTAGTGATTTTTATATTCCTTATTTTGGTTTGTTGTTTTTTTTTAAAGGAATTTAGGCTCTAATAGACTGAAGCGTTTACCAAAAGACATTTTCAAAAATCTGAGTACTTTGCGGGAACTGTAAGTATTAAAGCATCCTCCGATTTATTATACCTGCTCGTAATCCCACCTGCACTCAACTCAGAAAGCAATCCACTTAATTCCAAAACAGGTCTCTTTTTTGTATTTTGATAAACTTGAATTTGATTCTTAAATAATTTCATGTATTCCACTTTTTGCACAGTAAATACTAAAACATACAAAACAAATAAAAACTAGACATATATACATCACGTACACTCGTGACATTGCTAATACACACACCCGAGAACATTTTTCCTGTATTTACATATAAAATGATATAAATATAGATATGCGGCGACAGAATCGTGTTTTCATATGATCTGTGTTGCCCCATTTCATATTGTGGGTTATCGTCTGATTTAACTATCATTGTCACGATTAGGGTCTACAACATACCCTTACTTGTGCTAAATCTATAGCATGCGTAGCTGGCGGGATTAGCGTGGAAGTGCAGTATTGTTTTGGCGGCGGAGCCCAAGAAAAGTGGGTATTCAAGTCAATTGGAAGTCCCGCCTGCCGCAATTCTTGGGTATTTTGAATAGTCCGCAGCCAGGAATACGGGAGTTTCTAATTGACTGAGAAGCTGATAAAACGCCAATCAAATGATAATTGCTATCCCTACTATCTCCCAAGGGAAAGTTAGTGCGTACATGTGGAAATGAATCAAATCGAGCAAGCTATAAACCGGCTCCACTCCACTCCACTCCACTCCATGGTTTTCACATGACGTCCCTAAAATTCAAACTAAAAAACTATCGATCCTACCGAGATTTTACTTTCACGATGAATTAGAGCAGCTGAAAACTAATTTTCATACAAATTTTCACTTAAAAAGTGTTCTTGGTTTTGTGATAAAGTACGCTTGAATTTCTAGTAAGCCTTTGCGTGACGTGGCATTTACATGATGGCCAAGAGAGCTGTCATGTAGGTTAAAAAAATGACTTATTTCAGGAAATTTTTGCTATCTAAACAGTTCATGTATTAGAAAAAGTATTACTTTAATGTTTATGAGTTTATAGAAGAATAAATTCACGCTTTTGTAGCAAAACTCGGTAAAAGATGTTTCTGTTGGATTCCGTCCTTCATGTTGAAGCTCATCCAGGTGAGCACCAGCATGGCGTCTCTATACAAATCTCTATAAGTTTGGGTAAAACATTTCTTCGGATATCTCGTATACCTCAGTGTCGGTGGCTAGTAGTGGTATTTACCTCCCCGCCTCGCGGCCTAGGCAAATTTCACTACTAGCCACCTCCACTTCGGTGAATAATTGTTATCTATTCCAATGGTTATTCGTACAGTAAACACCAAAAAATACAAAGCAATAGGCCACTCCCGAATTCCAGTTTATTTCATACGCTCTTTTAATTACACGGTTTGGGAACTTCGTGTTATTCTGTAAAACCAATGTCATTAATTTGCCTATCGGTAAGGAACAGGGTTTTTGTTTTTTTTTCTCCTCCTTCTAAAGATCCCTAGAGCATATGCAGTCGTAGGTCGTACCAGTCCCCGGCTCGTTTAGAACCGGGGGGACTCCCATATGAAAGGGGTGGGGATGCTCGTCGAAAATTTTGAATTAAACCCCTAAAGGAGATCAATCTGGGCGTGGCCCAACCTTTTTTGACCCCCAAAAGCGATCATTTTAAACTTTGATTACTTGAATAGAGTAAATAAAACGAATTGACCATAAATAACTTTTTAATACTTCTTCGAGTGCAACCCTAAAAGAGACGTTTACGGCTAAATATAATGATGTTTTGCCCAGAACACCCTAAGCGAGACCAAAATCTGAAATTTTCACCCCTAAGCGAGACGACGAGCATTCCCGCCCCTATCAAATGGAAGTCCCTCCCCCCCCGGTTCAGAACATGGCTAATAGGCAATTAAGGAGGTAGTTGTGATGAAGAGAGTCGACCGTAAAAGGAACTTTGTAAAATGCAACTCTGAAATCTTGTTTTTAATCTTTCCCAAAAACGTTTCCCAGTTACATGGACATTCTCATCCCCATAACTGTGCATTAAAACTGTTTTCATTTGACAGAAATCTTGAACGAAATGAAATTGAAGACCTACCTGTAGGGACGTTTGGAGCACTACCCAAGCTACAAATCCTGTAAGTAGATCCATACTGTACTCTAGCGAGTGATAGATTCATGTTTCAGGTCTAAAGCACTTTATCCTCACTTATTTAGTGGGAGAAGAAAACAAGTAGATTATCAGTTATCGAGAAATATCTTATACACACTTAAATAAGCCTTTTTTTCAGAGTTTATTTCATGCGCTCTTTTAATTACATGGTTTGCGAACTTCGTGTTATTCTGTGAATCCAATTTCATTAATTCGCCTATCAGTAAGGATTGGGGTTCATGTTTTTACTAGGCAATTGTTTTTAATCGCCCTTTAGTGATTTTTATATTGCTCATTTTGGTTTGTTGTTTTTTAAAAGGAGTTTACGCTCTAATAGACTACAGCGTTTACCAAAAGACATTTTCAAAAATCTGAGTACTTTGCAGGAACTGTAAGTATTAAAATATCCTCCGATTTATTATACCTGCTTCCAATCCCACCAGCACCCAACTGAGAAATTAATGCACTTAAGATTAGCAAAACCGGTCTCATTATTGTATTTTGATAAACTTGAGTTTGATTCTTAAATAATTTCATGTATTCCACTTTTTGCACAGTAAATACCAAAACATACAAAATAATTAAAAACTAGACATATATACATCACACACATTCGTGACATACTGATATACACACCCCAGAACATTTTTCCTTTATTTACATATAAAATAATATGATGCAGATATGCGGCGATAGAATCGTGTACTAGTCAGATCTGTATTGCCCCATTTCATATTGTGGGTCACAAAATTATCGTCTGATTTAGCAATCATTGTCTCGATTAGGGTCTAGAATATACCCTTACGTGTGCTAAATCTAGTACCTGAAGTGGCCGTAAGCATGTTTTTCGAAGTCTTACTTATAGACCATTTTCTGCTATTTTGTTGAGGTCCCTTAATAATGAACATTTTTAAACTCTTCAGAGATTTTTCTTACTCCGGCGAGTGATAGATTCATGTTTCACGGCTAGAGCACTTCATCCTCACTTATTTAAAGGGAGAAGGAACATATAGATTATCAGTTATCAAGAAATATCTTATACACACTTATTAATAAAGCTTTTTTTTCTCATAGTTAATTTCATGCGCTCTTTTAACTACATGTTTGGGAACTTCAGGTTATTCTGTGAATCCAATTTCATTAATTCGCCTATCAGTA